GCAGTCAGCAAAAAAGGTTTTTTTTGACAAGCTGCAGGTAGACTTTTCGGTACCTGGTATTTCGATTCACACGGCGACCCGACGCATACGCGCATGGATCATCATAGGATCTGTAAAGGGGGAAGCACTTGCAAGAAAACTGATCACTGGAAGCACTGGTCAAACACGTCCATATAGTGGAGTGCGTAAGGCTAGTAAACAAATCAACAAGCAATCTCGTACTGGGTTATTATATTCCTCTGATCTGAGAAACTCAGAATCTGCAGAAAACTATCTCTCAAACAAATTGACTCCGTGCGCATATTACGACCAGTTCCGTTTATAGCTTTACTTTATTTTTTTGGGGGTTTACCAAAAAACAATAGGCCTATAGTATATCGATAGATCAATGTAGGCCGGGAGAAAGGTAAACCGATAGGGCGGTTTTAGCATTTGGCGAACCACGGTCTCTCGTCCGGTTACCAGTCCATGGATTCCATTAGTCAAAGATTTGTTTCAGAAACAAGGACTTGGTGGTAGAGGAAGTCGTAACCGACAAGCGAGCATAATTACCCCAGGGTAATCAGAGTTTTATTTTTAACGTTTAGCACGGCGCGCCACACCGATGAGCCATGGTACAGTTATCTACATTCTACAAAACCTATCCAGCCAATAGCTGGATAAAGCCAATAACATCTAAGTATAAAATTCCCACCCGACAATCATTTCGTAATGTAGGCTATGAAATAAGACTAACCCAAAATAGGAAAACTAATCAACACCTGCACAGCCTTCTCCCTAATCCGTAACGTGAGGCGAGCGTCTGATACCGCGTGGCAACAAAAATTCTAGAAGACAACAAAGCGCGGGGAAATATAAGTTACATTGTTACGTCACATTGAAGATGGACAGTTTCAAATGACAAAGTGGGACTAATTTGACAGTGCTTAAGCATGTAAATACATGAACCTGGTAATCTATGAACGACATACAGGATATAGATTAAAGCCTTGAAGCAGCAATGGGTCGCACACATTTCGCACATTGAGCTACAAAACATTTAACCCGAACTTTCCTACGGCTGATTCCAAAATATGTGGTAATGTATTGGAAAATAACTAGCAGTTTTACATGTAGTGCTGTAAGTGTTTATATGTTTCCGCATTGTACATAATATGCGCATGAGAGTGCCCAAACGCAGTACCGCTAGCCTACGTGGCTGAGCCCTATGTTCCCAAAATCAAAACCAAGGACAGTCGTGGCGTAACGATCACCCTTAGCGGAATAACAATGAATTAAAATAAAACAGCGAAAATTTGAACAAAGATAATTTCGTCTTCGAGTCGAGAAAATTTGAAGTTGATTGGCCTAGGAAAAATTACCACACCAATTCAGTCCCCCCAACAGCAAGACAAGAAAAAACCACGATTTATCATAATGATCCATAGGGTCAATTCGTGTCCGAAAATGAACAAGCGAGTCGATGTTCATTGTGTCCCGATATTGTATTGCATTGACATGTAGTATAATTAGGCTTACCATATGTCCCGGTTTAGCCGGAACAGTCCCGGATTTAGCATGTTTTTCCACCGTCCCGGCGATAGACTAAATTGTCCCGGTTTTGCAGTATGATAGTCATAAATACTTTTTCTATTTGATACTATTACAAAAAATTTCTTTTTAATGGAGGCGGCCGATTTACCACTGATTTGCGTCTCACTTCATTGGTTCAGATAAAGAGAAAAATTATTATGTCATAGTCATATCTCATATGACAGCAAGTATGAACCATGCGTTAATTTAACAGCCAACTGTACTATCGTTAAAGCATCAAAATGCCGTTAACAAAGTGTTAGCTAATTCTATAATGAGTTGAACAATTTCCATTATTTGGAGCAAAGGCCAATAGAAATAATTTTAATAGAATTTACAGCTAATTTTGATACCCGTAATCTACCCACAATGGTATGGGGAATGTGTAAACTATTACTAAGCCCCTAGAATCGAACCAAAGTTGGCTTGTCCAATCCGCGGCGTCCCGGTTTTTTGCTTCAGAAATATGGTAAGCCTAAGTATAGTACAATTAATTTTTGATTTATATTTTCGTACTCACGGAAAAATAATTTATATTATTTCTCGCCTTTAGGAAACTTATTTTGACAATGATAGTTGAAAGTATGGACTTTTAACTGAGATGATTTTATGTTGCGACAAAATAGTCAAATCCATGACTGATAACAGCATTTAAAATGACTTAACGTAACCCATAGTTTTGCCGACTCGCGATAAATTAATGCATTACTACTCTAAGATACGGCAACAATCTGTGGACATAAAATGTGTGGTAACTGCCTGATTATAATTACGAAAAACAAAAGCATTACAATTTTAAAATAATCTGTGCAAATATAATGTGTGGTAAAATGCTGGATTATTACTTATCGATTTTAATCGGTAAATATGTTGATAGGTATTTGTCTGTTTGTCTGTCTGTTTGTCTGTTAGATGCACGCGATATCTAACGAAAGCGAGATTTAATCTGCTCAAGATTTTGCATGTGCATTCATTATATGTCGTACCAGAAGCCTATTGATTTTGGATGAATTAGGTCGTATAATTAGGGAGTTATTAATTAATTAGTGATGGGTCACAAGTTGTCACTATGGAGTAAGAGCGCTGTTTTGGGGATCCCCTAACTTTCGATCGATAAGTCTTCGGTCTCTGACCGATATTCTCGTAATTAATTTTTGATTCATAATTTCCTACTCACAAAAAAATAATTTATGCTTTCACCCACTTTCGGCAAATAGTTTTGATAATGATTGTTAAAAGCATGGACTTATCTGTTGTGCAAAATATTTACCGTAAATCCATGACTGATAACAGCATTTAAAATGCGCTCCGTATTAATTTACTTTTGTTCAATGTAACCTATAACTCATGGTTGCGTCGTCTTACGAAAAATAAAATGTTTCTATTAGTAACTTTAAAATACCACGGCAATCTGTGTACACAAAACTACAAGTAAACTGCCCTATTATAATTAATTTTGATTAGCACTGTGGTACTTGCAAAAATAAAAAGGGCATACTATTATCACAGCAATCGGCGGATATAAATTTTCTGGTAGCCAGCTTGTAGGTAATGGTTATTCCATTGTTCACTGTATGCTAATTCCGCCATACAATAAGATGAGCTCGAATTTATTTTTGAAGTATTCGAAATTTCATATTTGAAAATAATAATTTCGAATGTATTCGCGTCGAAATAATGAATTATTCGGTATTGACCATCCCTGGCTACAGGTACAGCGATACTCGTGTACCTTCTATTGCAAATTTGTTACAACCACTTCTATACACAACGAATATTTTAATCAAGTACGAATTACAGGTAATGGGCTGACTCTCGATGACATTATGGTCAATGAAGAAAGTCGGGATGGTTTTAAATGTAGGCCCCTAATTTAAAATCGGTAGGTTTAAAGATGAAAAAATCACAGCTATGCTCTTTGGAGGCATCCCGCTTTGAGCTTATAAAAATATGGTAATCCTACTCAATATAATATTTAACAAGTAGATAGAAATAGCCGCCGTTCGTTTAGGTATCGGAAATATAGAACGATAATGTCGCTTTGTAGTCGTCGGTTGGATAAAAAGAGGAATGCGAAACATTCTCATCAATTTTTACTACTAATTTATTTGGTGGGGAAATCTTTTGTTTGGCATGCCACACCTTTTTCTCACGTTCTGTATTTGTATACTGAGACGATATCAGCGACCTCACAAAGATTTCGTTAGTTTCTATGTACCACGTGTATATAAATATAAAGCAAATTTTTGTTTTGGGATATTCATTCATGAATACCAACTGTTTCCACATGCACGGCACAAGGAGTTCGAGACAAAACCGTCCTGATGCACGTTCATATACAAGGTTAAATGGTTTGGGTGAAAATTAATTCCCGTGCAATACCAACTTCGTAATTTATAAATTCGGATACATTTACTATGTAATATCAATCTTGACAAGTATAAATATTATATATATATATATATATGTTTGCAACGGCGTCAGTGTCGTTTACAACTCCCAATATATATATATATATTGTGTTCTATTTTGAATGACTATGCTTGACAATTCTTCGAGCGGAAAATGCTATACTGACAAGGATGACCGGGATGAATATGTGGTTATAATTCCCATTTGAATAATCGCCTCCGTAGGGCTAGGCTATCCTAATTAAAGCGCTCATACAATGTCTGTCAATTACTCAAAATCTAAGATCGTTACTGTTAGGTCTACATAGCGTTAAAATTATTAACATATGTTGTGCCTCATGCTTAAAAATTGTCTACCTCAGATGTACATTCACAGCTTGCGGTAAATTTTGTGGCGTTGATTTTTAGGCGTCAAAAATGATACTTCTGCCAACATGCTGTATACAATTAATTTACTGTCCAAAACTTGTGACCATGTAGCACTTACGGTTCGTGAAAATCAAATACATATGGTACGAATACATACGGTATGGTTTCAAGTTAAAAATAATTTATAAGTGCCGAGAACTGCGGGAACGTGCTTTCTATTTAGAATATCTTGTTAATTTTATGGTTTTCGTGTTACATCGTTAACAACTTATTTATCCTTATGTTTACCAGTTTAGTGGTAATTCTATATTCCTATATTGTTGTTGGTATATATCAGTAGGCATAAACAAACCTGCAATGCCCATTGTATACTGTCATACATAATTCGATCGACGACGTTGCGACTGACTCAATTCGCAAAATTCACATAACACGTCAATAAAAGCTTGCACGTCTGGTGGTTTTCGAAACAACTAGCCCTGAGGGCGAGTGAAGTAATTGTCAAATCACCATCGGATAGACAACAGTGACCGTTCTATTACGTGTGTGTGTGTTATTTTATGACATTACTGAAAATGTAATGAGCAATAAACATAAATTGCCACGCCTTCGACCAGTATAAATAACACATGCTTAGACTCCAAAGTCATCAGTTTTCAAGTGCACAACTAGAAGACAGAGCAAGCAGCCGATCCCATCTCTACATTGGAAATTAATTTTCGAACAGAAAAGGTAAGCTTTAGATTTTAGTATTCAAGAAATCACCCCTACCGTGATTTACTATTACATACAAGCATGGCGTGAAAGAGTGAGAAGTAGATTTGAATAAGTAAAGACATCGGGAGATTCTTTTCCATAGAGCTTGGTTCTATTCATTGTTACTTTGTTTACTTTTTAGAAATAGAAACAAAATGAAGGTCGCCATCTTTATCGCAATTGTATTCGCTGGAATTGTCAATGGACAAATCGTAAGACGTGAGTATTTTATCGAACATTGTGCTTAACTGACTTTACTTTATCGATCCTCTATTGCTACCAAGATGTGTAAAATGGAGTGAATATTCTTAACTGAACAAACTCTAATTTCAGACTCTAACTTTAAACTTTAATTTTAAACAAACTTTAGACGAGAATGCCCTCACATGGCCTGAAAATGACCACACACTTGGGGGAGCAATCGTGGATTTTGTCTATGAAGAAATCGGCAATGGATCGTGCCAAGTTTCACTCCCGTCTATGGTCAACCTTTTTCACGTGAGTAATATTTAAGTATCAAATGAAATTATTTAGATTAGAATTTGTATATAAATAAAGTTAGACAAACTTCAGAACTTTATCTTGTTCCAAGTACGCAATATTAGAACGTCTTGCACTTCAGGTTGTGAATGGATTTATCGTCCCTGAGAGCAGCAGCCCAGTTGAAGGTCTTTACACGATCAGTGCACCAACCCACTGGAGTTTAGTCAACGGCACATTCAAAGTTCTCATCTTGTTTGACCGTGGATCAGCTTTTGCTCTGGAAGACATTGTATTCGCCTGCGATCCTCTTGCAATTTCTGACAGTAAGTTTGTCTGTAGATTTAAGATAAAATGTAAAGAATATTGATTTAATGTTACAATGAAGATAAATAAATAGTGATGGTATTATCAGGAGTTGCAAAAAAATAATACTGTTCCCTCATTTTTCTAGTCAACGTTTACTCTTTCCCCCAAAACAACTTGATGGGAGAAGCTAGCTCAACAATTTGCTACAGAAGAGCTTTCCACGTCGGAGATGTTTTGACAATCACTTTCCCAGTCCGAGTCAGAGAATTCAATGTGAGCTGCAGAAATTTTGTTTAAAATTTAATCGTGGACATGACTCAATTTGCATTTTATCGTGCAATTTATCTAATTATTAACTAATTTTTCCCTGTTCAACAGGTTACCACCTGGAACTCTAACTACGAACTTACAACCGAAGACAACATCACATACACTTTGACCGGATTTCAAGCTCCCATTGGAAATGATTTCAATACCGAGGTTAGTGTTTACAGTATTCATTTAATGCGATAAAGTATAGAATTAGTAGCGTTACAAATATAAGACATAATACTTCCAAAATATCTTTAAACACAACACTCAAAACTTGATTTGTTTTGGGAATCCTAGTAATTCACATTACCTAATTGTCATTCTAGGTTTCATTCCACCTTGTCTACGACATGGAAGATGGAGTCGATAGATGGTTTTCCGCTGGTGACATCACCGTCTCAATCACAAAAGCAGCCGACAGTGAAGTGATCATTGTCTAAATTCTAAAACATTCATCCATCTCTTTTGTTGATACGTTTATCTCATTCCGAAACTTGTCATTTAGATATATATGTAGCCTACGTTGAATTCTCTGATCTTATTCTTTGAAACAGTTGAATATTTTGGACAATCAAAATTAAATATTTAATACAATTGGACAATTTGGACAATCAAATATAAATATAATATAGGTTTTCAATAACTGAAATTTTGAAACATAAATTCACTTTGAAACACCAAACTTTTTAAAAAATTATTATTTGCCGAATTTTTGTACTTAATTTGAAAATTTTCTTTGAATGGTTGAAATACCATGACAAGATTTATTTCGTCGGTATATTTTATGTTATTTTTTGTAGAATTTGTAAGCTTACGTTTGATATTTTTATACCAATGTTGAAACTATTTTTATATTCAATTTGTATATGAAAATTTGAAGTAAAAAGAAACTAGCATATGCTTGATAAAAATTATTATCTCATTGCATTTGTGTAATATTACATTATCAATATTTTCAATTTATGAGTACGAATGCTGTGGTAAACATTCCGAGTTGTTGACAATAAAGATCTGATTTTTACAAAAAAATGTCTGATTTCAATTCAAGCTGAAAATTCCAGTAATTGACGCATTTTTGTACATAAACTACAGCAAGGAGTTACGGGCCAGTGCTTAAGAGGATCCTGCCGTAGATAACATGGTCTATCTTTTGGATTAAGCTATCCGATTGAAGTTTGCAAATAATGCATTTGTACAGTAGCTTATGATGATTGCAGAAAAAACGCATTGCAATAATACTATACAAGAGAGCAAAGCTTAAATACATAGACACAAAGTTCGCTACGAATTTGATGAAGAAGAACGGCGAACAAACGATACCGAGTCGTCCGAGCAATACGAAATAAATCTATTCCCCTTATCGAGGGACTTTGGGTAATTTGGGTAATCATTTGAAACCCATTAGTCCTGCAATGGCGGAGAAAGGAATAATTTTTTCCAACAACAATATTAAATCCAATGAGAGTAATAAACAAAAGAATTCAGGTCTAACTCCTTGTCAAACTAAACAATAAATCAAATAAATAAAACACTTGCGGGATGGCGGCTGGACACACTGGTCTATAGCTTTATATAAATATAATGATAGGGGGTTTTGCCTTTTAATAACAAAATCCAAGGTCGCGTATTTTGTGATGTGATAGTGAAATTCACTCCGGCATTTTTCGAATGACTAAAATATAGAAAAAGAAGTGTAATGTATATGCTGTCAGTAGCAACCACCGCCTGAAAAAATATCAAACGATTTAATGAGCATATGGTTTATTCATGCTACTTTATTATCCGGTTTACCCTCACAGTACCATCCAGATATCAGATGGCAAAAACACCTATCGGTTAACCGGTTATTCGGATAATCCAACCCTAGTCACATCCGCCAGTCTCATTTGTCGAAGTTCCTATAATTTACGCAGACTAGTGCAATCACATGCTGGTGGGTAGATTACAAATTCAATGTCTCACTAAGTAAATTACGATGTCGCATGGGCCAGATAAATTCTTCACTTGTGCACATTTTACTATGAAGCATATTGGATGTACATATTTTCGAAAATTTTTTAAAATATCATGTACATCACCTCACCCGGATTCCAGTTTTTCGAAACTATGGTATATATAGTTAGCTTTTTACTTAGCAGTGAGGCTTGTTTGGGGCAATCGTGCTGCAAACTGGCTGATATGAGGAATCTTTTCTGCTTTTATAATATAGTGGGTATAATGCAATTGTCATTGTGTTCAAATTTGCAGAAGCATTTTGTTGCAACTGCATGTATATATATATCAGAAGTTCTCTTTAATACACGTAAGTATTGTTACTCGCGCTCCGATTTTTACCAAATAACTTTGGTGATAAATTAAATATTTTACCACAAAACTTTGCAAGTATTGGACAATCTTCCTCTACGCCAATCATTTTTAAAGGTAAGGTATTTATTTTGTTTATTGCGTCAGTTTTTTTTTCATCTCGTGAAAGAAAGAATGACCTTGGAATTTGTTTTTAAAAGGCAACCATTATATTATCCCCAACAATTATATTATTCGAAGTTAGACCAGTATGTCCAGCCGCCATCCCGCAAAGGTTTCAGATATATGTTTTATTTAAGGATTGGCCGGGATTCGGATCCGTACTCGGATTCGAGTCGAAGCCACGCATTCTTTGGACTCGGATTCGATTTCGAGTTCACGTCATTTTTACCGAGTCTAAAATCAATTCTGTTTTTACTAATTTACGCCTATATTTGTACTTTTGCCTCTATAAATCTCACTACATACCTTAACGAGTTAAAATTCAAGGTTGAATCTGTAACAATATCCCTCACGTGTACTATAAACACTCCTAATAAAAGCGACAACAGATATCCAGATAATATAACTATTGATCGCTTATAACAATGATGTTGCGCCAGTCGCCTTCAAACTATCTATCCTTTTTGATACACAATAAAATATGTGTTAGCGCAATATTTTTGAGTTTTTGATTCGCGTAAAAATGAAGCATGCTCTGGATCAACTAACTCAATGGGGAATCTCATCGATACCTCTTTTAAATCGAGTTTATTACGTGCAATCCTTTCTATAAAAAGGGAGCAATGGAAAGCATGGAGCGTTTTAGAACGTTTACAATTTTACATGAACTACTAAATTGCAATCATTGTATTGACGACGAGTGGCATCTCTCTACCATTTGCGCACGCCACATAGTAAATTTAAGGCTAGAAATATCTGGAACTATGGGGAAGCATTGTAGTCAAAAGCTTTTTATTTTTCATATTGATATGTGAGAATTTTTAACTAGCCCTCCAGAATTGACGCAAGGTGGTGGGCTGAAAATCCAGTTCACAGCCAAGGCGCACATTGACCCACGTTTACGTTTGTATTATGGTCGCCAAAAAAAAGAAAAAAATATCTTTTTAAATTGATCCAACAGCTATCTGCGGAACCATTAGGCAAAAAATATGAGCTGCGACGTATGTTTGTGAGCGCCCGATGCTGTAATATGGCCAAAAACGTGTTTTCTACTTTTACATTATGACGTCACGGACTTTTTAATTCGTCTGTTGTTATTCTTGTTGTGGTTAATTGTGTTGTTGGCAAAAATTTTGTCTTTCTCCGCCATTGTAGGACTAATTGGTTTCAAATGTTCAAAGACGGAAGAAGTCGCTCGATAAGAAGAATAGTTTTCATTTCGTATTGCTCGGACGACTTGGTATCGTTTGTTCGCCGTTTTTCTTTATCAAATTCGGTGCAAACTGTGTGTCTATGCATTTAAACTTTATTCTCTTGAATAGTATTATTGCAATGCGTTTTTTCTGCAATCATCATAAGTTATTTAAACTGTAACTGTACAAATGCATTATTTGCAAACTTCAATCGGATAGCTGTTAGGCTTTATCCTAAGGATAGACCATGTTATATACGCAGGGCCCCCTCAAGCACTGGCCTGTAACTTTATCAAGGTTATAGTTCTTAAAGAAAATGCGTCAATTACTAGATTTTCCACCTTGATTTGAAGTCAGATATTTTTCGTAAAAATCAGATGTTTATTGTCAAATGCTAGTTCCGTTTTACTTCACATTTATATCGTATCAAATTGAGTATAAAAATAAAAATAATTCATCATTGGTATAAAAATATCAAAAGTAAGCTTACAAATTCTACAACAAATTACATAAATATACCGACGAAATAAATCTTGTCATGGTATTTCAACAATTCAAAGAAAATTTACAAAAATTCAACAAATAATATTTTCACTCGCATTCACCGTGTTCATATGATGAATTAAAATCAAGTTCGGTGTTTCAAAGTGAATTTATGTTCAAATTTCAGTTATTGAAACACCCTAATATTACATTTAATTTGATTGTCCAAATATTCAAACTGTTTCAGAGAATAGGATCAGAAAATATCTAAATGACAAGTTCCGGAATGAGTTAAACGTATCAATGGAAGAGATGTATGAAGTTTTAGACAATGATAACTTCACTGTCGGCTGCTTTTGTGATTGAGACGGTGATGTCACCCAGCGGAAAACATCTATCGACTCCATCTTCCATGTCGTAGACAAGGTGGAATGAAACCTGGAATGACAATTAGGTAACGTGAATTACTAGGATTTCAAACACACATCACGTTTTGGGAGTTGTGTTAAAAGATACTTTGGAAGTATTTTGTCTTATATTGGTAACTCTACCCATTCTAGACTTTATCTCATCGAATGGAATACTGTAAACACTAACCTCTGTATTAAAGTCATTTCCGATTGGAGCTTGAAATCCGGTCAAAGTGTATGTGATGTTGTCATTCAGTTGTAAGTTCGTAGTTGGAGTTCCAGGTGGTTACCTGTTGAACGGAAAAATATAATTAGTATATTGAACAAATTGCTCGATAAACTGCAAATTGAGCTAAATCCACAATTTTATTTTGAACAAAAAATCTGCAACTCACATTGAATTCTCTGACTCGGACTGGGAAAGTGATTGTCAAAACATCTCCCGACGTGGAAAAGCTCTTCTGTAGCAAATTGTTGAGCTAGCTTTCTCCCATCAAGTTGTTTGAGGGAAAGAGTAAACGTTGACTAGAAAATAATGGGACAGTATTAATATTACACAAATTCTGATAAGACCATGGCCATATATTTATCTTCAAATATTCTCTACATTTTATCGCAAATTTACGGACAAACTTACTGTCAGAAATTGCAAGAGGATCACAAGCAAATACAATGTCTTCCAGAGAAAAAGCTGATCCACGGTCAAACAAAATGAGAACTTTGAATGTGCCGTTGACTAAACTCCAGTGGGTTGGTGCACTGATCGTGTAAAGACCTTCAACGGGGCTGCTGCTCTCAGGGACGATAAATCCATTCACAACCTGAAGCGAAGGACGTTTAAATATTGCGTACTTGGAACACGATGAAGTTCTGAAGTTTGTCTAACTATATTTATATACAAATTTTAATCTAAGTAATTTCATTTAATACTCAAATATTACTCACGTGAAAAAGGTTGACCATAGACGGGAGTGAAACTTGACACGATCCATTGCCGATTTCTTCATAGACAAAATCCACGATTGCTCCCCCAAGTGTGTGGTCATTTTCAGGCCATGTGAGGGCATTCTCGTCTAAAAAAAAATAAGTTAGGAATATTCACTCAGTTCTATTTTACGCATTTTGATAGCGTCGATAGAGGAAAGTTAGTTATGCACAATGTTAGATAAAATACTCACATCTTACGATTTGTCCATTGACAATTCCAGCGAATACAATTGCGAAAAAGATGGCAAACTTCATTTTTTATTCTTTTCTGAATAGAAAACAAGAAATAACAATAAAACGAATCTCTAGAGACAAGAATTTTCCGATGTCTTTACTTATTCAAAGCTTCTTCAGACTCTTTCGCACCATGCCTATATGCAATAGTTGAGTACAATTGTAGAAGTATGTAAAATGGTAGAAGCGTTTTCCTAAAATACTAGAAGCTATATATTACCTTTTCTGTTCGAAAATTGAATTCCAATGTAGAGATGGGATCGGCTGCTTGCTCTGTCTTCTAGTTGTGCACTTGAAAACTGATGACTTCGGAGTGTAAGCATGGGGTATTTATACTGGTCGAAATTTACAACCTTAGAATTCTGCATGAGCGGTATGGACTCCTATCTATACCAAGCATAAATATAATTTTAGAGATGTTTACAGTTTGTTTTGATGATTTTATGAGTTGATTGCGACGGGTGTGTTTTTAAGAGTGCCAGTAAACCGCAGTAAACTTCTTTCTCGGTTGATGGATAAACAGGAGGTAATAAAACGTATATTATAATTGGAGTTTCCTTCAGTATTGACCTGTATGTTTATTTCTCAGTGTAATCCCAACCGTACAGTTTGTGTCTTAGTAGTGGTTGTCACGCGTGTCCCTACAACAAAAACAAATATTACCTTAATCACTGAATAATAAAAAAAATGCAATATTCTCATGCTGGTTTCGTGTATAAACAACACTACTCATGGATATGATCGTTTTAAATTTACTTTTTTGATGTTATGTTCGTGATTATACAAAGCTACAATATTCATCCACTTTTACTTTGCAGGAAATACCACGCGTCGGTGTCAAAATATGTCACGTGGTCTCAAAAGTCAAATACTCGGATATCTTATTGAGATCCGCTGCAAGCTTCTTTGTCGCCTCTACACATAATACTGTTACATCGAGAATCGCATTCACTTGAATTTTGTATTGACTTAAACATTGCGTCTGTTTAACTTGTGTAGTAATTTATTTGTTATTGTTGACGCCGTAATTTCACTTGATTGACAGTGTGCTTCTACACACTTTGTTACGAAACAATTGAGAGAGAGAGGCAATTGCTTGCCCAGACATGTCTCGCTTAGACATGGATAGTTTCGGTAATTTGCTTCAGATAGCGCTTTACTTTTGCAGAGAATGGCGCTCGTTTCGTTGTAATTTGTAAATAAGTTATTTATTTATTTATTATTTACATATTGAATAATCCACATTGTGGATCCATAAAAAAAAAAAAAAAAAAAAAAATAAGTTCAACTTGTTCAGCGACCTTGGCTTTCTGTTTTGACTGTAGGACGATTAAATAATGTAGATTATGACTGCCCACATAGACCTATTTTAGGGATATTTTATGAGCATTAAATGGCCTTTTGTGATTGTTTTTACAGTTATAGTTTATTTAATTGATTTGTTCGGATTTCATTGACGAATGATTTCATGTTCAACTTATGATAATTTAAGCTTGGAATAGCAGACAAATTCGGTATGTTATAATTTGTAACTCTTTCTGATTTGAAGGCTGCAAGTTATTTAATAGTAATTTTGTTAGACTTGTTAATTAACTATGTTTGATAAATGTGTTCATAAATTTGAGTAGGCTCTCTAAAGGCCGAATTGTGTACGATTATTTATTTATTGTAAGTATTTTGTATTGATTTGTTTTTACGTTTGTATTAAGATAACCGTGTCAACTGTATACTTCGAGTTGTGTGATTTTCTGGATTGAGGATACAAACTTGGGGCTTGAAAGACCGCGTTATTGAACTGTTAATAAATATCTAGTGTGCAGTCGGTGTCGTCCAGGTCACAAAGAACGGCTGTTACATTAAAGTTATCAAATTTCCGCCAATAAAGTTATAGAATTTATGCAAATAAAGTCATCGGATTTTGCATAACTAAAGTATCGTCGAATGCCGGCAGGAGTTCGGTAAATCGTCAAAATTGAAGAAATCATCCTAGTGTTGAACATTTAAACTTTTGTGTTGCATGTTTGATGAGCACTGTAATCGTACATTATGGATGCTCAATCTGTTTCGAAATCAAATTTAGAAGAGTTACGTGCTCGTCTTAAAGAATTATATCAAGATGCTGAGAGACTTATGTCAGACTACAAAAATCGAGATTTGTTAAAATTGAAAAGCGCTGACATTGACAAACGGTTCACCGAGTATTCAAATGCTCATGAAATTCATGTGAGTACTTTACGTTCTGAAGAAGATCGAAGAAATGTCAGTGAATTTTTTCCAGTGTGAACTGCGCGAGTTTCAAGAATTTAATGTGCACTTACGTGATTGGTTCAAAAAGAGTGACGCTGATGGTCATAAAGCACGTTCTATAATTTCTGGGAAAAGTTCCCGTCGTTCGTGTGCCAGTTCAAGTTCGAGTACTAAACGTACAGAAGCCATTGCCATTAGAGAACTTGCTCATGCTAGTATTTGGCAGCAAGTAGAAAAAGATGCCGCAAAAAAGCGAGAAGATGATGCGAAAATGGCAGCAGAGAAAATGAAATTAGATGCCCAAATTGAAGCTGAAAGGCTGGAACGTGAAGCTACAGAAAATGCTAAAAAGCTGGAACGTGAGGCTATAGGAAAAGCTGAAAAGGTGAAACGCGATGCTGAAATAAGAGCTAGACAAATTGAAGAAGATGCTCAAAGTGGAACAAAGCGTTTGGAATTGCAGCATGCATATGAATCAGCCTGTATAGCAGCCGATGTATGGGAAAATGCTTCTCAGGGAGGCGAAGGTATGTCATTATATGAAAATATGTCTCGTTCACATTCACCTAATCAAATCCAAGAGTCGAATGAAATAGTGGTTCCAGTATTAAAGCCTCCTGATGTGAGACCTAAATTGCCAGCATCAGATTTGTTATCACAATCTCGAGTCAGAATGGAAAATCCTGTACTAAATGTTAGAAGACCAGTTTCTACTGTTAATATGCGAGATGCCATGAATATTCCTGATCAGTATGAATCAGTGAACCGACCTCCGTACACAGAACCACACATCCCACAACAAAGAAACACGCATGATCAATCGTCACCGAATGTGGAAAGTTTATTGGGCAATATGGCATCTATGTTGCAAGACGGAATTGATAGACCTCGACCTGAGTTATTGCATTTTAGTGGAATAGAGACTGAATATGTCCGGTTTATCACTAACTTCAACTTAAATATTGATAGAAGAGTACATGATACAAGTACAAAGTTGTCATATTTGGTACAATACTGCGAAGGTGATGCGAGGGAACTGATTATGCACTGTACAATGTTGCCACCCGATGAAGGTTATAAAGAGGCATGCGATTTGCTCAGAAAGACATACGGTCGACCAATGCTTGTGGCTAGAAAATATTCAGAAAAGTTGACTAAAGGACCATGGTTGAAACCTGGAGATAATGAAGGTTTATTACGTCTTTCTCAAACATTAGAAGAATGTTTAGTCACTTTGACACATTTGAAATATTTTGGGGATTTGGATAATTTTGATACTATTTTGTCCATCGTATTACGACTTCCTCTCAAGTTGCAGAACAACTGGGAAGAATCAGTGGCAGAATTAGATGGACAAGATAGAGAAGTGAGATTTAAAGATCTTGTTCGATTTATGAAGAAAAAGGCTGCGGCTGCAAATACGCCCTATGGAAAAGCCTTGAGAGCTCGAAGGGAGCAAGAACAGCAATATCGTTTACGATTTCAATCATCGAATAGGCGAAAGATTCACGCTCATTCAACTGCTGTGAATTCAGCTGTTGACAGCAGTGTTACCAGTGCAAAACATATTGAAAAGGGAAGAGATGTCTGTCCTGACTGTTTAAAGACGTCACACAAACTTGTTGACTGTTACAAATTCCTGCAGAAGTCACACGGTGACCGCTTGAAGATTGTTAGAAAGGCAAGATTGTGCGATAATTGTTTTGTATATGGTCATATGTCGAGAAATTGTCGTAAACCACCTGCTTGTACTGTTGACGGGTGTAGGTTGAAACATAATACTTTATTGCACAGAAGAGAACAAGAGACATGTACCCAGACAGAAAATGCTGCTGGTATGCATGAGTCAAAAGTTGAAGCATATGCGACTTCAAAAAGCTCAGCAGGATGTTTTTTGAATATTGTACCTGTCAAGATCTGTGCCAACAGAAGAGAAATAGAAACGTATGCATTTCTAGATGAAGGCTCTACTGCTTGCTTATGCGATGAGCGACTTCTTGATCTATTGAAGTTGAGAGGCAAGAAAACGCAGTTTTCGTTGACAACTGTGAATGCGGTACCAACATCACAAGATGGTTATGCGGTTGATTTTACTGTAAAATCACTTGATGGTAGAGAAAGTGTTGATTTATCTCATGTGCTAACTGTTGATAGACTGCCTGTTAAAGCTAATGAAGCACAATTTGATGTACAAAGTTATGCACATTTGAAGGGATTGAAGATTCCTACTCTGCCGTGTAAAGATGTGATGTTGATGATTGGGGTAAATGTCCCTAAAGTGTTTTGGACAATGGATGAGAGACGAGGGAAACACAATGAACCTTCGGCGAAAATCCATTTTAGGATGGTCATTGGTTGGACCAGCTTTATCTCAGGAGAGAAACAGTGATGTTCACATTCATTGCGTTCGAGTGCAAGAGGAAGACTTGCTGAGTCAGCAAATCAAATGTTTGTGGGAAAGTGATTTTAAAGACGCTTCACTGTCGCCTATTCCATCAGTCAGTCAGTCAGTCGTTTATTTTTCACTAAAATGAAACATACACGTAATGCGAACAAAAATGAGAGAAAACATAAATAAAGGCATTTCATGGTGAAGGGTGACGCGAAAAAACCAATGTTGGTTATCTAGCAGCGACACCTGTGATAAATGTCTAACTTTGATACAAGTAGAATAGAATGAATCGAACACATTTAAGCAGTGAAGGGAATAATGTCCAAGAAAATCCAAAACCGTAACAAAAAAAGAGACTCCAGGCACAACCAGGGTAATCATGGGCAACAGTATAGTAATATAACAGCAGTCCGACCACAGTCAGCGTCGTGGAACCCTACAAGAATATTGCTTTTGAGGCCGCGCGGTATGATAGTGGCCATGTACGCCGGGATACGTAATTAAGGCAGTTAGTTATTAAGAAATATATTTTGAAATATAAGCACATCTTGATGGTTACAATTATCTTAAATATGGGAGCAAGTTCAAGAAAGTATTGGCACTGTGGTATGGTTTCCAGAACTGGAGTCATTGGAAAATTTGA